TAATTGCGTTTAGGCAAGCTGAATTTACTTTTTTTGAAGTTTTTTGACTGCATTTTTGGTAAAAGCTTCTCAGATCATGATTTCATGTAATATGGACCCAAAAACAATCGGTGCACACATCAGTATACACACAGACACACACAGACATACAAACACATACAATTGACCTTGACCTAACTTGACCTGAAATGACCTCAGCAGCAAAATTATGGTCGGGTAGTGTGACAAAGAGGTTCTAGCTGGCTTGGCACCAGAAAACAGCATCGTCATCGGTATTTGATAAGCAGCACACTTGATATCCAACGGTGACCCAAAACAGCAACATTTTTTAGTTTGACCTGACCTGGAAGGTCAATGACTGACCTGAGAAGGTAAAACTGGGTATCATTGGATTCGTCTCTTCACAAAGAATCTTTTTGGTCTTTACTGCTAAGCTCTATCTCCAACAGGAACGAAATGGCGCGGGGGGGGGTGGCAACCACCCCCCCCCATGTGCGTTCTAGGATGGGAAAATGGCATGTGCGGGCGAGGGATAAAAATGGCCTGCAGTGTAGCAGCTTCATTCAACACGTAATGTAGGTACCGGGGACTAGCAGGGCAAATCAAAGTCACGCTGCTATTAATAGATTAAAGTGACCATCCCGCCTTAACATTAGTTTTGAGTTGAGATAGCCAAACGGGGTCCCTGGCTTGCACTTACCGGTTTGAGCACTCACAACATCGAGAAATGCCTCAAATCGAAAATATCTATTTTTAAAGCTGCAACACTTTGGATTCAGAGGAGCTAATGCATTTGAAAGCAAATGCCTCCTCTGAATGTGTGACGTCAGCGCAGATCTAACAATTTTAAATATTTTACTAAAATGTTTGTAATCTCGCGGTGGTAGGTATATGCTGCTTTGCGCGCAACAAGTGCCGCACATTCAGCTGCCAAACTATTGCTTCCAAATAAGTCGCTAGGAACAGCGGAGATCCCAAAAAGTAAACAAAGTAAAAGTCTAGTTAAGATCTTGAAAACCGGTAAATATTTTTCGGTGACATTTGGTAGCATGGTGTGTCAAAAGTGGAAATAGCCGCCCGGCTTTAGTTCGCCAGCCTTGTCAATAGATGGCAGTACCACAATATGGGCAGCGGATCGTGCAATTGACGTCAAATTTTCGTTATCTGCTAAGAATTGAATGGCAGATCTTTTCATGCAAAAATCAAGTAAATCGGTCCACAACTTTTCTAGCAACAGAGATATGAAGTCAAACACCCAGCCAGAGCGGCGGCGCGGCGGCCGGCGGCGGCCGTTACGCGCCGCCTGAGAGACTGGCGGCGCTGAACGGTTCCGACTTGGCACTGCACTAAAACCTGTTAACTGCTTGGAATAGTTATTATAGCAAAATTTTCATTCAAGTGAGGGATAACCAAGGGCAGGAAGTATGTATGCTTGTGTGCGTACTGTGTAAGCCAAGAAACTGCATTAGCAGATACTCGCTAATATTAGATCCAGCCAAGTCCAAACGCATTCCAGGGGATGTGTTCCTGATGGGTCAACAATATTTATCGTTCGAGGGCGGATACAGTTTTAACAATACAAAAAATAGTTTTGCACAGCTCTATTCCTTGAATATTTCTCTTCAACGCCTCATTCCTAGTTAAGCGAATTAGCCCACCCTGGTTGAATAAATAAGGCGATTTCGCCACAAGGTCGCGGAAAACCGACCGAAAACGGCCGCGCTCAACGTTAATTTGGGCATGCAGACTCTTAAAAACTCGCATTGGGCGGGTAGGGTTTCCCAGGTATTGGCTCCAAAACACCGTATTCGGCTCCCAAATACGTTCAAGTGACCCGCCTCGTTCCTAGTTAAGCTCTAATTAGATCAAGTGACTCATAAGGAGCGAAAAAGCGACAAAAAGCACGAATTTCCCTATGGCGGCGGGCTGCCGGGCTGCCAGACGGCGCACCGGCTATTTCCACTTTTGACACACCATGATATCTGTTTTCGCTCTTTCTGAAGCGAGCGACATCACTTTCATGCCAATTCATTAACTTTTTTGAAGGTGGGAACTGGGAGGGTCCTTTTAACATCGACGCGACGCGACAATGACCAATCAAATTATTGGGATGCTTCGCTTCGAGCTATGAAAGCACAGGTTTTAACAGCTCCCTTACCTAAGCTTCCTCAACCTTTTCACGCTCTCTTATCATGCATATAACAGGCAGCAGCCATGCCAATGCCGTTATACGTTTATCAGAACGCAAACAACCGTTTGTTACGATGCATTTTCCACATACTTTTTAGAATTTTAATGAATCTCTATATCAATATAAGGAACAGGAATTTGGATGTCTGCCATTCAAATATGTACCTACAATGAATAAAACGACATAAAATACAATGCTTGGACACATTAGAAATAAACGTTCAAACGAGACTGATATTATCCCTGCTTTGTTAAAACTGGAAACGTTTATTTTTTAAACAACAAAATATGCTTCAAGCTCAGGCAACCATCACTATCCGTGCTTGCGTCGCTGCAGCGCGGTTGTATGCGCGGCTGTTGTGCAGATCGCGGGTCGGTGTCCGATGGCCGCTGCCGAGACGCCCCGCGGCCTCCGTCTGTACCCGTATCAGTGGCGCCGGCCACAATTGAGAGCAATCCCTGGTGATGACGCCACAATGGGCCGTGGCCGGCCGGCAGCGTCTCTGCGCCGGCGGCTGTTTTTGGTCGGGAGGCGGCGATCGCCACCCCGGGGACCGGCGCCGGCCTCCGACCTTGTTCGGCCACCCACAGCTGATGGCCGCGGGCCCTCGGCGCGCCCCCCCCCCCCACCCCAGCCCCGCCCCTGCCGGATCCCGCCCGCGGCGACTACGCCTGATCAGCCCCTCCCGTCTCCATATCGACACATGTGACGTTAGTATACCTATATGTTACGGGTCATATGCTAACTTGGGCAGTATGCAAACTGCCCGGGCAGTATGCATACTACCCAACAGCCCGGGCAGTATGCATACCGCCCGGGTAGTATACATACTACCCGACCTCTTGGGCAGTATGCATACCGCCCGGGCAGTATGCATACCTCCCGGGTAGTATGCATACCACCCACCTTTCTTCTCACGGGCAAGATGTTTACTCGGGCAGTATGTTGACTACACTTCGTGAGGCTTGTTAATGCAATAACTCGCGTATATATGTAAATGACAAACGTTTTAACCTACCGGGTGGTGGGGGGGGGGGCATTTTTTGTCCCCCCTTAGTTTTTTTCGATATATCTCCAGAATTCCGCTGCGCCGATTGCCACCAAACTTTCAGTACCCTCCCGTGATCGTAGCTATTACACATTGTGACCAAAAATTTTCCAAAGGCTATGATAGGTTGGCCGCTAATGACGTCGGAGTGACGTCATTTCTGCCATTTTCGACCCAAATAAGGTTTCGCGGGAAGAGCTGTCAGGCCTACAGCTTTATAGATACAGAAAATGTTTAAGAATAGGTATAAAAGGTGTCGAATTAGAAGGCTACAAAACTGCTATTTCGGATTTTTTTTAAATTTTTAGATTTTGACCCCCCCCCCCCAAGTCAAAAAAGTAATTTTTTGAATATATTAGGCAAAAAATCCAAAAAGTTTTTTTTGAATTTCGATAAAAATGGAAAATATGTGATAGTCCCTACCACCTTCTATCCACATACCAAATTTGAGATTGATTTCTCTTTTTGGCAAAGTTATAGCGAAAAAAGAACTGTGCAAAATTGATGACGTCAAATTTCGTCGTCGTCGTTTCATTTTACTCAGTTCACGCTTCACAATGACAATGACTTGTTGGCCACTGGTTATTCAACAATGGATTTGGGAAAAAGTAATTTCAACACTTTATTCCAATCCTCATTCCATCCTACGATCGATCAATCACGTTTGACGACAAAAATTATTCTCGGTCGATCTATTGTTATCTAGAGAGCCATTTATATTCTTAATGTGGACATGGATTACACAACTTTAAGTCGGAAAGCGGGCAGTATGCAAACTGCCCAAGCTTTTGGGCGGTATGCATACTGCCCTAGGGGTCGGGTAGTATGCATACTACCCGGGCGGTATGCATACTGCCCGGGCTGTTGGGTAGTATGCATACTGCCCGGGTAGTTTGCATACTGCCCAAGTTAGCATATAGGCTCGACGTTTAAAAGATTTTTCTACCTACGAACGGTTTAATAATTGTATTCCGTACCTACCGCCGATATCTTTCGGGCGTTGGTAAAAAATACATTTGATATGAATGAATACGACATATTTTAGACTAGACGAAATGTCTACAAGACGTTTAACAGTTTAACAATTTAGCTGTATGTGAAAATAATTTTTGAGATACCTACGAAAGACTACCCATTTTTCACTATCTGCCTCATATATGAATTCGATAATGGCGAGGGTGTCAACTTGAAAAAAAAAATATGCTTCGAACTCTAAACCAGAGTATAATACTATATAATATAAGGCCCTAAATGATATTGGAAAGTAGATATAGATACCTACGTAAGCCGGAGCCCTTAAATACATGTTTTGCGGTAAGAGATGAGCGAGTTACGCTTATCTATTTTGTCTGTTCGTGCCAACGCCTTCGGGGTGTTCCATTTAAAGTTAAAAATTTAGTAATCGGAAATGGGCACAAGTAGCAAAATAGTCTGAGTTGAGGCTAAAGGGTCATGAGGTTATCGATATCAAGCCTTCGAGATATACCTTTCATATATTCTGTAATACTGAAACAACCGCTTAGTTTTTGGCTGTAAAAGTAAATGCTAGAGCTGAGGTCATATAAAGCTGCATGGTGACCTGACCTTGCAAGACCTTGAACGAACATGACTCGCATAAACTGTCCTGAATTTTCAATGTACTGTGAAGGTGCATCATACTATAACAAACGCCACATTTTGAAGATATTCGCGAAAAGAAAATATGCCGACGGACACGGTACAAAGCATACCCTGTCTTAGTGCGAGTAAGAAACACCGATCTGTAACAGCCATAATGGGTATATTTTCAATACATTGTCAATGCCACAGTTAAGATGAGTACAGTGCCTCCAAATTCGTCGACACATCAGCGAAACATGAGCAATCATCGCTGGAATGCGCCCAGGACCAATCCATCGCTGTGCTACGCTATCGCTAGTGGAATACCACGATGCTAAAAGCGGTGTGCGACGAGCACCTCTACTTGTCATCCTTTTACGCTCATTTACTCTAACTCAGTTCTCACCTCCCATCCACCTCCTCTCCTCATGCCCCCTCTCCTTCGCTGACCTCTCGACCGACCTCTAGTCTAGTCTTTTCCCTGTCCTCTAAGCTCTCTGTTCTCAGTTCCTCAATGACCAGAGATGTCGCGACGGTCGTTCCGCAGACTCTCAGGCTCTCGACTGGTCGTAGGTGCCGCGTCTGTTGCTCGGGACGCTCGGCTGGTCGTAGGTGTCGTGTAGATCGCTCAGGGCCCCTCGTCAGGTCACAGGTGTCGTGCCGGTCTCCCGGTATCCTCGGCCAGTCTCTCCGCCGTCTCAGTAGGCCTCAGCGTCCTCCATCGTCTCTGGCAGCGGTCTCCCTCGCGTCTCCGGCAGCAGCGACACGGAGAGGGCTCCCAGAATACCGAAGGCGCCAAACACTGCGTACGGGTAGGTCGGGTGCCTCGCAGCCTGTAGAACGCAAAATGACAAAGTTAACTTGGATATAATGGGCTGTGGTTTCAGGTTTCACGATGACGTAATCGTACATCTCACGGGGCTATACAGGGCTCCTGTCTCCCCGCCCGCCTCCTCACCCTCTCCTATATCCGTATCCCACACCCACCAATCACCAGCCGCAAAATAATAGGACGACAGGGCGTCCTATTATATACAGGGACAGATGGCCACGTCGATGGTGGGCCACACCCACCATCTGCAGGATGTAGGCCTTGTAGGGCGTCAGGGCGCCTGTCTCATCGCGCGTCTCCCCGCCTGTTCCCTGCCTGTCTCCCCGCCCCTTTCACACCCATCAGCCGCAGGATGTAGGGCGACAGGGATCTTGTCTCCTCGCCTTTCTCCCCGCGCGTCTCCCGCCTGTTTTTCCGTCTGTCTCCCCTCATGTCTCCCCGCCTGTCTCCCCGCCTGTCTCCCCGCCCCTTCCACACCCGCCAGCTGCAGGATGTAGGGCGACAGGGCGCCCGTCTCCCCGCGCGTCTCGCCGCCTGTTGCCCGCCTGTTTCCCCGTCTGTTTCCCCGCCTGTCTCCCTGCCTGTCTCCCCGCCCCTTTCAAACCCACCAGCCGCAGGATAATAGGACGACAGGGCGCCCGAATTCCACACCCACCAGCTGCAGGCCTGTTTTCCCGTCTGTCTCCCCACCTATCTCCCCTCATGTCTCCCACCCACCAGCTGCAGGATGTAGGGCGATACAGCGCCGGCGCCGATGCCGACCAGCGATGAGGCGCCGGTGCCCAGCGAACGGACGCACGTGGGGTACAGCTCGGCCGTCTGCATATACAGCACCACGAACGTCAGACTGGTGCAGAACTTGCCCAGCATCAGCAGGAACGTGACTGCATCTCCGGAGCCCGGCACTGCAGGCACAGACGGTCGACGGACACCAACGGTTAAAATGCAGCATATTCATATTCGATATTGTTCAATGTAGGCGATACAGCAATGGTAAGGATATCGGAGCAAATAGGCAATAAGTCTCTCCGATTGTGAGCGGGATGGCTAGCCGATTGTCAGCGGAATCTTCATCGAAACGAGGGTGCAGTTCTTACCGAATTTGAGGGGGATGATGCCGAACATGGCGGCCGCGGAGAGGACGAAGAAGACGAGCTGCGTGGGCCGCCTGCCGAACCGGCCACAGACGTACAGGGCCAACAGGTTGGACGGCAGCTCCACGGCCGACAGCAGGAAGAAGTTGACGAACAGGCTGCCGCTCATGTCCGAGAAACTCAGCATCAGGCCGTAGTACATGATCACGTTGGTCACCCTGTGGGAAGGGGTGGTGAATGGGACGGAGAGATGGACAGCAGGGCCATGGACGTGTGGCGCTGGCCTGTCCCTATGTCAGACTCGTTCCTGTTATACGAGTCATTGCGACTTCCTCCATTTTCGTTATCTTCGCTTACATATACGGTCATTTCTATAGGACATTTTCGCCTATTCGAAACATTTGAAAAATTAACATCTGAAATCTGTCATTCAACAATTGAACAAAATTATGCATCTTTACCGCCGAACGCAATATTTACCGCATGTGCGTTCGGAATGTTGAGCGACAGCGAAGTTACTCTTATCAGCGTAAACTGGAAAATGGTACGAATTGTTGTAAAAAAATAACAAAGAACTTCACGGTGCGGGATGCCGTTTTTTTACGTCGACTCTGCTACGTTTTTATGGAAATCCTTCGACGCCACCACTGCAAGGTGGTCCAGACGCTGCGGTCACTGACCAGTTAATGTATGCGCCCGTGACATGTTTAATTCACTATTCCATGGCCAGGGACACTCTTGACATTGGGAATGGCTAGTGATATTGCCATAAACTGCGCAGTCTTTAGTAATCAGTCACAGTGTTCACCGGTTCCGGTGGCGCAGCAACTACTGCAGGCTAGAGAACCCCTCAGCTCTCAGCACCCACAATCGCCCATCCATCACTCCACAGTCTCCCGTACCACAATATCCTGTCCCACAGTCTCATGTCCCACACTCTCTTGTCCGACAGTCTCCCGGGTCCTATCCCACAGTATCCTGTCCCACAGTCTCTCTTGTCCCACAGTCCTCCGTCCCACTGTCCCCCGTCCCACAGTTCTCCGTGTCCCACACTCTCTTGTTCGACAGTCTCCCGGGTCCTATCCCACAGTCTCCCGTGCCACAGTTTCTCTTGTCCCATAGTCTCTTGTCCCACAGTCCTCTGTCCCACAGTCCTTCGTCCCAAAGTCCTCCGTCCCACAGTTGACAGTCCTCCGTCCCACAGTCCTCCGTCCCACAGTTAACAGTCCTTCGTCCCACAGTCCTCCGTCCCACAGTCCTCCGTCCCACAGTCCCCTGTCCCACTGTCCCCCGTCCCACAGTCCCGTCCCGTCACCCACCAGCAGACGGTGATGGCGGCCGCCTTTTTGACGAGCCGCGGCCCGGCGGCGCGCACCAGGGCCAGCAGGCCGGGACTGTGGGCCGGCGCCGCCTTGGGGCCGTCGGCGTCCCTCAGCAGGCGGGTCACCGGCTCGGGCGGCAGGCCGTTGGCGGTGGCCACCCGGGACAGGACGTCGGAGGCGGCCGAGAGTCGGCCCTGGGCCACCAGCCAGCGCGGAGACTCGTCCACCACCCTGCAGGGGCCGTGTTTAGTGTTTAGTGCTTAGTGCAGTTCAGTGTTCAGTGGACAGGAAAGGAACGGGTTGGAGCAACGATTGTGCGTAATGACAAGAATGCTTCATGTATATGCTGAGGAGATACACTGAACTGTGAATAGACTTAGAAAAGGTAGACGAGCCTTACTTCATTTTCATGATGAATAGATGCTATGCTATGTGCAATACGGCAATGGTTCATGATCGTTTCAATTTAAAATCCTGACGATCTGGTCACAAGCGTATCCATGTATTTCCTCAGGCACCACTGACCAGAGGCAGGGTATGATGAGCAGGGCCGGCAGCGAGGTGGCAATACCCAGGTACACCCAGTCTTTGACCAGGTAGGCCACCAGCGGAATGGCGCACATGCCCAGCGTGAACGCTATGGAGACGCCGACCGCATAGCTGGTGCGCCACGACACGCCGGTAAACTCCATCCCTGCCGACGTCAGATCAGAGGTCGTTCCCAACAGCCCAATCCGTAGCGTGCGGGCATTACCCTAAGTGGGTGTTCAAACACATGCAGATGCATGATTGCATGAGTTGTGACGAGACGTAAGCAGTTCGGGGTATTCATAACTATAGACGGCGTAACGGAGCCCTTATTACCGTTTTACCATACACTTAATTAATCATATATGATGTAACATCGTCAAAAAGCAGTGTATCTTCAAACATAATTAGAATATTATATCGGTACCTACGAAATGAGCAAGCAATGTATTTCAATGACAGCCTTTTCAGCCGAGTCGCTGAGCAGTGATCGCTCGATCTGGCGCTCCTCACCGAGCGTGAAGACCAGCTGGTAGATGACCGGATAGCAGAGAGAACTGAGCACGCGCATCACCGTGAACCCCATCGGGTTCCTCACCAGCACAGCGACGATGTTGAACACGGGCATCAGAGCCGAGACCACAAACACCAGCAGGCGACGGCCGAGCCTGAGCAGACAAACACAGAGGTCAGTGCCAGGACGATAAACGACAAACACCAGCAGGCGGCGGCCGAGCCTGAGCAGACAAATACTGGACATCAGTCGCGGTGGAACGGACAAATATACCAACAGACTCCGGCCAAGCCTGAGCAGACAAACATGACATGAGTGTAAACACCACAAACACTAGCAGATGCCGGCCGAGCCTGAGCAGACAGAGGTCAGTGCCGAGACGATAAACGGCAAACACTAGCAGACGCCGGCCGAATCTGAGGAAACGACCGCAGCACAGCGCGTACGGTCGGGAAAACAGAATATTGTGCTTATTTCTATGTGCCTTATACTCGTATTTTTCATTTTGTCGGTGTCATTTTGTATCCCGCATAAATACGCTGAAGGTTCCATGGTTCCATGTGTCCGACGCATTCGCCGCTGTCCCTGTCTGTATCGCCTTACCTGTCGGAGAGCGCTCCAAACACGACGCTGCCCAGCAGGTTTCCGACTGTGTGCATCGAGTAGATGGCCGTCAGCTGGCCGAACTGGTCGCACACCCAGAGGAACGCCGCCGGCGCCGTCTCCGAGAAGTCGCTCCGGTCAAACTCCCAGCCGTACAGACAGTCTGGCACAGCCGCCCCGGTCAGACAGCCAGTCGTATACGACTGGACTGTGACTGTATTCAGTCACAGCTACCCCAGTCAAACTCCCAGCCGTACAGACAGTCTGCACAGTCATCTCGAGCAGACCCGAGTACTTACACCCTGGCACAGCTGCCTTGGTTAGACTACCAGTTCAGACACCCTGACACATATTTTAAAAGCCGTTTTTTAATCGTTCTCGTATCATCATTCAATCATTAACGGATCAAATATTTTATTAGCAGACATCTAACGGTATTGGCTTTTCAAGGCTAAGTTGTTCGTACTGAGGTCAATATTTACAAGGTGTTTTATTTACCTATACAATAGGGATTGAAATAATATTGAGAAGCTATTGACGGTAAAAAAAAAGATTCAGGTATTGACTGAGAAATTATTGAATAAGTGAGTAAACAGTGCGATTCATAACATATTTACCAGTAATATTTTGTTCCGATTCAATGTACAGCTGCGTCACGACACTGCCGCCCTCGTCGTAGTCATCTGACACCGTATCCCAGGAGCTCTCCTCGCTGGGTCTGAACATCCGGCATTTACTGTGGACGGTAGTGCCATCCGGAAATGAGTCTCTGAAATGAAAGTGAAACGTGACAAAAAAAGAAAGTTAGAAACGTCTATTAGAGCCGCGAAAATGTGTACATGTAGAAATGATAATATTGGTAAATAATAAATCGTAGTATGTACCGCAATTTCGCCATTTTGAAAACGAAATGCATGGCGACTTGTGTGAAAATGGTTTAGCGATGCAATCGATTCAAAACATAAGTCAAAGACACCGTCGTGCACCTCTCCGTGCACTCCTCCTCATTGAAGCATGCAACAATGCACTAAACATCAACCTTATGCGCAGAAATATACTAACGCAGATCAACTGTACAAGGCACACTGTCCATCGCCCGACGGTGTGACGTCCACCAGCCGCTACCTACCTGGGCACTGGGCAGTGTGGCGTCCATCAGCCGCTACCTACCTGGGCAGCGTGCTGTTCCTCAGCCGCTACCTACCTGGGCAGCATGGCGTCCACCAGCCGCTACCTACCTGGGCAGTGTGGCGTCCGTCAGCCGCTACCTACCTAGGCAGTGTGGCGTCCGTCAGCCGCTACCTACCTGGGCAGTGTGGCGTCCATCAGCCGCTACCTACCTGGGCAGTGTGGCGCCCATCAGCCGCTACCTACCTGGGCAGCGTGCTGTTCCACCACTGCTGCAGCGAGACGTTCTCTGGCCGGCCAGGCACGTGGCACCAGTGGTCCGGCAGGCTGAGCTGCATCAGCACCGTCAGGTAGGCCACCGGGATGTAGAAGCAGACGGGCAGCACGAACAGACCCACCAGCCGGCGCTGGTACCAGCCGCAATCGCCGGCGGCCGACAGCAGCTCATCACACGACACCATCGTGCAGGCCGGAGCGGGTCACACGGGTCAGGTGGGGAGGGGAGGTCAGGTGGGGAGGGGATGGGAGGTCAGGCGGGGAGGGGAGGTCAGGTGGGGAGGGTAGGGCTATGTCAGCTTAGGAGTGGGAGAGGGGATTGGTCCCAGGTCAGTCCCAGGAGGAGTGAAGAGAGGACGATGTCTGTCCAGGTCAGATGAGCTCAGACGAGCGGAGTCAAATCGGCCAAAGACAGGTAAGGTCTGACCAGGTCAGGCTAGATTAGGGTCGAGACTGAATCAGACTAAGCCGCGTCACGTCAATTCAGACAGGAATAACAGAGTTGGATCAGGCCCAGGTCAGGTCAGGTCAGGTCCCGGAAGTCGCAGCCGTCGGTGTGATCGAAGAGGTCGACAAAAGACCTGCGAACACAGAGGTGGGCAGTTCGGAAAACGGATTTCCCGTGTGAAAGGGTTCAAACATCCCACCAATCTGTTCCAAATACCAGTAGGTAGGCACACATGTGCCTGCATAATGCATATGCCTTCCTGCAAGATGTATAGGATGTACCTGTAGGATGTAAGTATGCCTTCATGTGACGTATGTAAGGCGTGTGCATTATGGCTTTAGCTACACCCTTGCACCTATCTACAACGGCACAATGCATCCAGTCCGTTATAATGCGTAAATAAAACAGCACAAATCGATCTGCGCATATACTGTCAGTCTGTCACATTCATAAAGGAATTGAAGGGGCGAATGTAAATGTTTAGAGACATTCTCTATCAGAAACGTTAACATTTGTCTCCTGTTCAACCTTCGTGCTAAACACAAATAGGTACACCGGACGCCTGGCAAGACATGGCGGTCTCGAATGTCTCCACCGCTGCTCTAGGCCCTGCACACATCGTTTGGGCCCAATCCCATGTGACGGACACACACAACCCAAATGTTATGCCTGTATGATCTCGGAAAACAAACCGGCTAGAAACATCAGTTGAATAAACACTTAGACGAGAGGAAGTAAGATCGGCGTCGCCATCATCTTATGCCCTTATTCAGTACACATCAAAATCAATAAAGCAATGCGGTACAAACTGGGCCGCTTCCGTCTCGGTTCCGTGTAAAATGTCCCGGCGGATCTGGCTCCGGTACTAGGTTAAATATGACAGCTCCGGGAGCTCCGGCTCTTGCCCAGCATTGGTGATCACTACTTTTAATGGCATCAGTGGTAGAACTTTGGCAGATAAATAGTCAATATGTATGCACAATCAAAGTAAAACCTATAAATGCAATGGGACGCAAAACATTTTTTTAATGGATATGCCGAGTAAAACCGAATAATATCGTGATTTAGCATCTACAGTCTATACATTAAAAAAATGCCAGTCTTTGTTGCGTAGCCTTTTGTAATACTAACTGTTAGGTTATAGGTATGATATCAACGATATGATACCAATTACCAATAATATGATATCAACATCTTTCAGCGGCTTGATGATGATCTGTTGCTAAAAATTGTCATATTCAACAAAATAGGCTACTTTTTATTGCAATTCCAACAATAATAGAGGGAAATGTCATTTTTGATCAAACTATACTTACTGCAACATATGTACAGCACTTACAGGTATGTAGTAATGGTATGATTGTTTGTCAGCGGTCGTCGCTCGGTCAGCGATCAGCGGCGACTCGTCAGCAGCTGGGAGCCGCACTTCCACGGAGCGTATTCCGCGCCGGCTAAACTGCGATGTCCAGCACCGGATCGGATGCGCGGCGCGTCGAGCTACCGGCGAACCCGAGTCGGCCGGCGATAAAAACTAGCCGAGTCATGAGCGGCTCGGCGCGACAGTCCCCCCGCCAGACACGACACCGGTCAGTGCGGCTGGACCGGGCCGATCGGCTGGCCCGGCCGTGCCATCAGCGGTTATCACTGGTAGGGATCAGATCACCCCGCACCCCGCCACGAGCGGCCGGTGACCGGTGGCTGCAGGCTGGTGACCGCCGGTCAGCAGCGGCCGGTGACCGATGCAATGGCTGCAGGCTGGTGACCGCCGGTCAGCAGCGCCCGGTGACCGTCTGACAGATGTCCCCGCCGCGTCTCGGGTGTATTGTGTTGCAGCCGCGTGGTGTCACCCCTGCGGCTCGTGGCCGGAGCGACGCCGCCCGTCTGCATCTCCGCCGCGGTGCGACCGCGAGGGGTCCGCACCCGCCACGGCACACATCTACCCGCATTGTCCCGGCGTGTAGCTTCATAATTGAGCAGGCGACCCTGGCTGCGTGCCAGCTCACGGCCGTTGCCGGTCATCCGCTGCTCGTCGTGCAGCGGTTACTTTTAGGCCTTTCCAGACTGAATGACATTGAGCTTGAAATTCCGTGAGGAGCATGCTCCCTGCGTGTGGTACGGACCGGTACCTATATTTTCTGCACTGGTGTGATATAGGTACTGTGGCATCTCTGAGCACATAAGGCGTGCGCGAACAACGCATTCCAATCAAAGTCTCAGGGTCATCCCATTGCCCCCATGGCCCATGTGTTTGATGGGCACACATGCATTGTGTTTGTCCGACCAACAAACACGAGAGGGGAAAGGCACAAAAGGCTTTGTTTTTTCTTGTGCATCGCATTGAATTCCGTATCCAGAGTTTGTTAACCCGGCAGACGGTGGGCCTACCAGCCACCTTTCGCGCGGTGGGGGGGGGGGGCATTTTTTTGCCCCCCCCCCGTATCTCCAAAACTATTGGATGGATCCGGAAAATTCAAACGGAGTTCGATAGCCCTGTCAAATTTGTCGAAGGAAACCAAATTTCATTGACCTCGGGGTCACCGATGACGTCACAGGTCAGGTCAAAGATAAAATGTTTCTCCGTTCACGGGGCTTCTAGGGAAAGCGCTATAACACTGAGTAAAACGCATTTTGTCGAAAATCAGCGATAAGGCGTCAGTTGTCTAGTACATATGTTGCTATCAGAGGTCAGTGGTCATACCAGGTCAGGTCACAGGTCAGGTCACCAAAGGTCGCCAAGGGTCACCACATGAGCCCAACTTTACTAAGGTTATGTGATGCATGTTTTATGGCCAGTTTTTCATTTCCAACTCAATGGTGTTGGTTATAAGACCATCAGGTACGGTTTAGGTCACTTTCTGGTGGAGGTCAGGTCAAGGTCAGGTCAAAAAAGGTCAAATTTCAAAGTTGATATTTTTGCATAAAATGGGTATTGATTCGATGCAGCTCGTCACGGGAAGTCTAATGGTGGTCTTTGTTTTGCGCTACGAGGTCTAGAATTGCTAAAACTTGAGTTTGAAAATTGACGTCATCAATTTTGAACAGTTTTTTTCGCTATAACTTGGCCAAAAAAAGAGGTATCGATCTCAAATTTGGTATGTAGATAGAAGGCGGTAGGGACTATCACATATATTCCGGTTTTTCGAAATTCAAAAAAACTTTTTGGATTTTTTGGCTATTATACTAAAAAAAATCTATTTTTTTTTTATTTTTGGGGGTCAAAATAAAAACAAAAATCGAAAAATCGAAATAGCAGTTTTGTAGCCCTTTTGATTCCACACCTTTTATGTCTAAAACATTTTTTTGTATCTCTAAAGCTGTAGCCCTCACATCTCTTCCCGCGAAACCCTTTTTTGGGTCGAAAATGGCAAAAATGACGTCACTCTGACGTCATTAGCGGCCAACCTATCATAGCCTTTGGAAAAAATTTGGTCACCATGTGCGCTAGCTGCTCCCGGGAGGGTACTGAAAGTTTGGTGACGATCGGCCCAGCGGTTCTCGAGATATATCGAAAAAACTCAAGGGGGGGGGCAAAAAATGCCCCCCCCCCACCGCTTGGAAGGGTAAAAGTTTATTGCTGCCTCAAACAATATTCAACTGACTTCCCGCAAGCAGTTCGCAAAAAATCATTTTAGATCATCCATCTGAACAAAAGCAACAACACAAAACACAATTAACATTTTAGCTGCTTCAACATCTCGCGGACCCGTTCCGTTTGACATTTAACCTTAGCCTTTAATAGCCAGTGCCGAGGATTCACCGAATTCCACTGACCTTTGACAAGATCGAGTGGCTGGCGTCAATCAACCGGCACCTGGTGAAGAGATCTCCGATACCGTATCCCCCAGACCTTGACCGAACCGTCAGACTCGAGTCTCGTGTTCGTTATAGCGTCGGTGCGAGGCAGTCTTCCGGAATCATGGGATTGTGACTCCGAGTGACTGCTATTTACCGATATGAACAACAGCCACGCTGTTGAAAAGCGACGGTCCACGGTGACCGGTCACCTACCATCGGATATCGCCCGTCGGTCATTGACCGGTCATCGCCCACTGGTCATTGATTGGTCCGTTGATCACTGACCACTCCTCGTCCGTCTGACGGCACCTGACCGCCCCCAGTGCACCGGGCGAGCAGGAGAAGGGAGCGAGAACGTCACAGATCTGACAGCAATGCATGAACAAGAGAGCTGCAAGCTGATGACCCGGCTGGTCAATGGCCCACCGACCGGTGGCGGCATCGAGCACTATGGAAATCATGTGATGGCTATGTATTTAAATACATACTCCATGATCATATAAGACGCCAAAGTACATTACCGTCTGCTCGTGACAAAAATGAAGACTTAGAATACAACTACATGCATCACCATTCGGCTTCCTGGTATGGGTGCATCATAGCGAACAGAGGAAAATACTTGAGTAATTTGTTAGCCATATAACAAAAATGATAAAAGGTGTTGATCCGAGCCGCATTCAGCAATGCCTTTTTTCTACCCGCGGTTGAAAAGACCTTTGACATGCGTCAGGCTAAAACAGCACACGGCAAAGTGCTGACTTATCGCCAGCCTGAAATGGAAATAAAACTATGATTTATTTGATACAATGTCCTACAAAATCATTTGAATTAGGTATTTTCTACGCGGACATGGAAATACTAGAGGCTTCTCAAATTTATTCACTCAATGAACGGGACAGTCAACTTTAAGCAAGCATTCGAACGTCTTCTCTCCCATTTTGTAAATATGTAGGTGTCTTTCAATATTTTACTAACGTTTGAGTAAAGGCCTGGCTACACTATGCGTTTTCTGCGTGCGTTTTTTGCGGGTTTGCGTTTTTTGCCTAATATCGTTCTAGAAAAAAGTAAAAAATGATTTAATTTTTACATTAGTTATATGCATAAGTTAACCCGCGACCTGGTGGGGGGGGGGCTATTTTTTGCCCCCCCCCCTCCAGACTTTTCGATATATCTCCAGAACTGCTGCGCCGATCGTCACCAAACTTTCAGTACCCTCCCGGACATCAATTTTACACATTGTGACCAAAATTTTTTCCAAAAGCTATGATAGGTTGGCCGGAAATGACGTCAGAATGACGTCATGTTCTGCCGTTTTCGACCCAAAAAAGGGTTTCGCGG